TGTAAATTTGGCACTTAGCACACACATCTTGGAAACTGCACATTACCTATCCACTGATTTTTCCTGGAAACAAAAATTTTAGGGCTTTTTATTTTTTGTGTAATTTTAGTATATTATTTAGTAGGAAAAGGGGAAAGCTGCTAATTCTTGCATCATTTTACCAGATGCAGCCAGCAGTGCTAATTACATGTATAGTATAGTAGTCAATAGGTTTTGGAAATCTATAACTTTAATGACATTAATTATTGTATATTTCTCACCACATATAAAGACAAATGTTTACTTGCAAAGGCTAACCAAAATTTTCACTGCTTAGAAAATAACCATTGTTCTCTTATACTGCAACAAATTTGACCTTCTTTAAAAATCCCTCTTTCTCTTTTTAGCTCATAATTTCATAAGGACTGGCTACTTTAGGACTGGGGATTTAACTCAGTGGTTCTGGTGACTGCCTCACAAATGCAAGGACCTGAGTTCGATCCCTGGTCTCAGGAAAAAAAAAAAAAATGGACTGGCTACTTCAGACCCTAATATCCTATTTCCCTCTACACTTTATGTTTTTACTGTCTATAATTTAATTATTAAATAGTTCTTTAGGCTTGAAATTCATCATATAATTAGCATAACATCTTTTTTTGTAACAAATGACTTTTATTGAGCTATAAGCCTTACAAGGGCATATTAGCAATTTTCTTTATCATGGTATTTCTAGATCTTAACATAGTACCTGACCGCAGGAGTGCTCATTGAACATGTATTCCATAAATACAGGAATAATACTTCATTAACTACTATCTAGCATCCATACAGTATTTATTCAAAGATAGAATTTGAATATTTCTAATTTCAGATATACTGCCGTGAGAATTTATTTTGAGCTAAGTAAATTAAAAGTTTAATCAAATAATTGTTGATGTTATCATCAATTCATTTTGGCTTCTTGTGTTGTAATGCAAGACACACTGTAACACTAACACAGATGTAAAAGGGGAAGGGAGCATAAAAGGGAGTGAATGCTGTGGTAGCGGTGACAGCAAAATTTTCATCCATCCTATGAATCTAAATGGAAATCATGCCCTCCACCAGGAGATGGGATGTGTCTTACCAAAGTTCCTCATGGGTGGGACACAGCATCAGGCGCCCACAGTTTAAAGAAAGAGATGTTTATTTTGGTTCACATTTTTAGTTGATAGACTGCCTGAGGCAGGAGATTAAGGCATAGTAAACTGGCTTGAGAAGGGAGGGTAATCTCTCAATGACAAAACTCCAGGATATGTGCACGGAACAGTTCCCAAAGCCCTGCACATGGAACCTTCAATTTTGTGGCAAGGGCTTCAGCAGGTTTTAGATAGGACTTCCTCCATCTGATGTCAGCTGAGGAGTGAGAGATATGAAGATGGCCACAGCTGAGTTCAGATCACTGTGTTTTCTTTTTCATAGTGGTCCACTCTTACCCTTTAGGATTTTTTGTTTTGGGGGGTAACTTTTAATTGGCCTGCACTCTCTCTGCAGAGCAAGTTTCTTTTCCTGCCTCTAATAAGTATAAAACTTCACTATCCTTTGCACTTGTCTTGGCCAGTTCCTTGTTCAGGAGAGAAAGAACCTGGAAAACACCTCCAGAAGGAAATTCAGAAACTCAGAACCTGATAATATGCTCAGTCAAGGCAGGAAAGCACCGCAGAAAGTTCTAGCCTGAGGAAAGTTGCTCACTTCATGGTGACCAGGAAGCAGAAAGCCAAGAAGGGTCGCAGAGAAGCAGACTCTTGTAGGTCCCCCTGTGACCTGACATTTTTGACCAAGCCCCACTGAATAACAGCATATTTAGCTCTAGTACTCCCACTACAAGCACAAGAAGTTTTGTATTCATGTCTAGATATAAACCATTACAGAATGCTATTTTATCTCTTATTATTCTGTTGTGTCTCTGATGACTAAGTAGTTTTGATAAGCTGAAGTGAGAAGGTTCTTTTGCTTTATTTATTTATTTATTTATTTGTTTATTTATTTATTTATTTATTGTACCGGGGATTGAACTCAGGTCCTTCTGCTTGTGAGGCAGGCGCCGGAACCACTGAGCTAAATCCCTGGCTCTTTTGCTATTTTTAAATGCCATATTTTCTCTTTGCTTGGCTTTAAGGTATTTCAATTTTATTATTTTACTGACAATTTCCCCATCATAAAATGAGACCATACACATATTACTTTTAAAATATTCTAATAAAATGTGGGAAGAAAATACTAAAATTTCTCAAAGGCAAATTATTAAGAAAAGGATGAGGGATATCCTAATCAGTTGTGAAGAATTTCGAGATTTAAATAATTCTTGATAACCATCCTTTAACCAGGCTGGGATTAAGGTTCCCCAAGGCTGAAATAATGACTTAAACCACCATTTTGGTAAGATAAGTTTGCGGGTTCATTGACTCTCATCCTGGAGAAAGAATTTTTAGGACGGATCTGTAAGAGGCAAAAATAAGAATTTATGGGACAGAGACATAGGATGTACATAATAGTATAGTGCAGATGCTTAGAGAAATGAGACACATTATAATTGAATATTGGGAATCTTTATGTGTTTTGGGTGGAAGAAATTTGTGAAATATGGTACTCCATCATGTTGGTCTTATCTAGTGGGTAGCACAGGTTGGCCCACTCATCATTAGATAATCATCCACTATATAAGAAATCCTAATTTTTATGTGAAAAAAAGGTGGTCTATTCACAGGTGAAGGAGAACCACTTGCAGGTGAAAAGGGAATGACCAAAGGTGAAAGGGAGTTGCCCAGGTTTACTATATTTGGGGAGAAGAGAAGAGAAAAAAATAATGATGAACTGGGATTGTGTCCTGAAGCTACAGTTCTTACAAATACAATTTTTAAAATCTTGCTTCCCTTGTTTCCTTTCTGTATAGTTTGTATTTCTTTTATCCTGCCTCAATCCCTAAGTGCTAACACTCATTTGTAATACGTACTGCTCAACTATAAGGCTTAAAGCTCTAAATGAATTGTAGTTATTTGCCCATCATTTATCTCTTGGCCTTTAAAAGAACAGCAGTTGCTGAATTTACGTGGTTCATCTCTGGACATCTGGATACCAAAATATGCCTTTGAGAGCTACAGTGCACTAGAAGAATTGAAGTTCTGTTGGTCCCTTAACAAGGAGGCACTTCTGTCATTTGGACTGCTAGAAAGATGCAAAGCCAAATATTTCCATTGCAAATATACTCAAAAGGAAAGATTCTAGCAAGTTTGAAATGCTCTGATGACCACACAGTACTTTATAACTAACATTCAACTTTATGTTTTTCATGTGGAAGTATATAAGATGATGTATAGGGTTCTCATTAATAATTCTGTGTGTATTTATCACATCAAAATGTTTTTCCATACCACATTTAAAATTGAGAGTGAACTTATTTTAGTGAGTGCATGTTACAATATACTTATATAAAATAAAATGCTAAATTATTTCTTCTACAGTCTAAGATCCTTTAGGCTTTTTAGTCATAGAACTGGCTCTTCAGTAAATGAAATATTATTTCCTCTCCTTAAGCAACACACACACACAATCAAAATCCCTTTCCTTCTAGGGCGCTGACATGGAATAAATAAATTATTTCAGGTATTTTTTGAGGACAGTTTTACTGGACTTCTTTTTTCCAGCTCTATCTTTTAGGCACATGATCCACTTGCTCTCTTCTATCTCTGGACTAACACGTGAAGATTATGAAGACAATTATGGCTCATGGAAACCGGTCAATTCTCCAATTGTTTATGTATTTACTGAATGTGCAAATTCATTCTCTAGATCTTGATAAGGGCAGTAAATATAATACGTATTTACATTGGAATTTTTATAGCTTGCAAATATACAGGATTGATTTACAATCCAGTAAAGCAAACCAAAATCTACAATAGGAAAGCTGAGCCAACCATAGGAAAATGCGGGCAAGGGTGTGTGTGTTCGGTGGGGGGTGTGAAAAACACTGCCATAAAGAGACTGAGAAATATTTCTATTACACGTGCATCATAATGTGTGCCCTACTTTTTTCTGTGTTGAGCAATGGGAAGCACAGAACCAAGATAGAAGGTAGTGGACTGTAGCTGCCCTTCACATTTAACAGCCACTCTAGATAGGAGAACATGGTCTGAGGTTATACGGTTCGCATCCCCTATTTTTATTTCGTTAACTGTTCAACCCGCTGGCAGACAAACACCACCACCTCTGCCCAGGCAGCAGCTCCAAGGGACAGGCGAAGGTTGCCTGCGTTAAGCTCCCCGCTGGCACCTTCTGGACCGACAGCCGGTGCCAAAGAGCGCTCAGGGAAGCAAACGGCTAATGGGGAACTATACAGATGCCGTGTATGCACAAGCACGATCACAGTCTGACCAGAAAGGGGAGAAACGGGGGATGACAGCCTGCCCTGGGGGCGGGGGTGTCTCGAAGCCACAGCAATGGAGCGGGCGGCGGTGTGGGCGCGCACAGGTGCCGCCGGCCGGCGGCGTGGAGAGCGGTCCACAGCTTCCGGAGCTCAGACTCACGCGCTGAAGCCGCAGCTGCGGCCGAGGCTGGGTAACCCCCAGCCTGAGCCACGGAGGAAGAGCCCAAGGAAAGAGCGCGAAGGGGGAAGCTGGGAAAGAGAGGCGAAGGGAAGGGACCTATCGCTTCATCCCGGATTTCTCCTCTCGGAGCTTCGCTGGTGGGAACCTTTCCTGGGCTCCTAGGCGCCTCCCTCCTCCCCTCCCAACTCCGGATGATCATCTCCCCCTCTCCCCTCGCTCATCCCCTCCCTCCTTTCTCTGCCCTCCCTCCCTACCGCGTGCCTCCTCCCTTCCCCCCTCGCCGTCCTCCTCTCCCGCGGCTGTAGCAGTAGCCTCTTCCGCGGAGACGGAGATGGGCAGAGAGCGCGCTCGGCGCAGCAGCTCCTGATCCTCCGCTCTCCCCGCCGTCGGCTCCCTGCGCCCCCGCTGCCGCCGCTGTCGCTGC